GTCGAGTTTCAAAGTGTTTGTATTGTTGAAGTTGTGCATTTTTTACTTTTCTGTTGGTATTTGTGAATATTTAAACACTGATACGAGGCTAACCCTGTGCAAATGAGTCTGTAATCAAGGAACACAGCGGTAATTTGGAATTCGAAACTGGTCTATTTTGGCTGAATTTTGAAACCTTAAATTTGGATTTGTAAAACAGCAGTTTGTTTCGGTAGGTGATGTCATTATGCTACATATATATACAGTTATTTCGATGAAATGCAATTACCACTGTTTTCATTGCAATTACCACTGTTTTCATTGCAATTACCACTGTTTTCATTGCAATAACCACTATTTTCATTGCAATAACCACTGTTTTCATTGCAATTACCACTGTTTTTTGATTGCAATTACCACTGTTTTTTGATTGCAATTACCACCGTTTTCATTCCTATGCACTGATCGAAATAAAAAAGTCGCAACAGGTAAATGGGCATTTATACACTACTGTCAATCAAAATACTGGTTAGAGTACGTAAGGGTACAAAGAAACCGTGGAATGGCAAACTGCACCAACACTTGTCTCAATCAGCGCGTAGCAATTAAAACAGTGACAAGTAAATGTTGTACAATAATTACTCAATTGGTGCATATCAATTCAGTGGGAGCTTGAGGCTGTAGTTAGTGCGGCTAAGACTTCATCCATGGATGGGCGTTGTGTGGGGTCCTCTTGAAGACAACTTCGTATCAGTGTCCTCAGTTCTCTATTCTCTACCAAGCAAATAAGCCCATCTCTATCATCAAGACTTGATGGCTCTTCTCTGAGGCACATTTCCAGCAAAAGAACACCAAAGCTGTACACATCACTCTGGGGAAAAAGAATATACAGTAGAGAGACTTTTAATCCTCCAAAATCGATTTTGAAAAAGATAAAATCTAAATCCGCGGTTAGGAGATCAGATTACCCACTACTAATAAAGGAACCTTTTTCGGATTATGCAATTATTATTTGTTTTGCACTTGTTATCTTATTCCATCATTAAAGTTCGTTCTGATGCTAGTCGAGCCAAATTGATTCTTTTCAACAAATTATGTGGAAGCCAACACAATCAATCAATGGAGTTTCGTGACGTTTAAAGATAAAAAAGTCGTAAATACAAAGACGCTAATATGCAACTGTTGTGAAAGTGATGCATTTTGGTTTAGCTTTCTCCTAAACATTTTTTGTTCGTTAACCCTAGATAGCATGTCTACACAAACGTTCTTTACTGAAATAAGCTTCACTAATGTTCTACCTTTGGTGAAAATCTTTTGTTGTTCATTTCAGGCGCCAAGTACGAAATAGCACCACCACTGCCTGTCTTGGCATAGTTCATCAGCACAGCATTTCCATAGTCTGAAATCTTGCCTCGCCATGACTGACCATGTTTCCATAGCAACACGTTACCACTGCTGATGTCACGGTGAACGATAGGATGTGGACGGGTGAGATGTAAGTAGTTTAACCCTTTAGCAACATCCTGGGCAATAGTCGTGATCTCGACAAGATCTAATGCACGCTCAAGTAAGACCGCTTTTAAACTAGTGTCCAGCAGTTCAGTCAGCAATAATGGACTTTGATCATCGCTTGTTGCACCAATGAACTGTAACATGCAAGGATGACGACATCTGGACGCCATTTTCATTTCCCTTCTAAAGTTTCTTATGTTGTACTCTGTAATCTTTGGCTTCACTGAGACTTGTTTTACAGCAACTTGTGTGCCACGAAACATTCCTTTGTACACAGTTCCAAACGTTCCGCTTCCGAGCTTTTCTTCAGTCATCTGAATCTCTTCTCGATTCAAAATCCATTCGCACTCATTTTCAGGTTCTTGTTTCTTTAAATGTTTCACAAGTTCTTGTGTCATGGCAAGCGTTGTTTCAAACTCTTTTGATTTTTCTTGACAGCATTGAAGCCGTTTCTCTGTTTCCTCTTTAGCTTTCTGTTCACAAGCTAATTTCCTTTGAAGCTCATTTGATTTATCTTCGTTTCTCTCGCGAGGTTTTTCTTTCTCTTTTGTTGTTTGTTGTTCTGTCACCCGTTTTTCTTCAAAGGCAGCTGATATCTGTCTGATTCTGATGAGCTCGTTTTCCTTCTCTTCAAGGGCCTTTAGTGTAGATGCTAGATTTATATCGAGCTCATGTATTTTTTCGCTTCTTTCCTTTAAATTTTCCTTGGTTTGTTCATGATCATGGCGCTCCTCAGCTAGAGTGACTTCCAGCTCTCGTACCCTCTGCTCACTACGTTCAAACGGATGCTTGGCGATCTTCATATCCTCTTGTTCGCTTGCTAGTTTTTTTTGAGGCTCATTTAATTTTAACTGTATCATCAATTCTTTCTCAAATTCATCTAATATCTGTTCGCTGTTGACGAGATCTGTGTCTTTCTTTAGTATTTCTAGTCGTGCAGCTAGTTCGTTCTCTAACGATCTTACACAGTTTTCAAGGGAATGCGCATTCCTCCTTCGTTCCCTGCTGCGTTCGATGCCATTCCAGGAATGAGTGGCAAACGTACGCGGCCAAGGGATACGTAGCATCAACATATCTTCCCAAGGTGGTGTATTCCTCCTCGATTCGTAGCGAGGACGCAACTTATCAAAAGAAACCGTCACAATAATATTAACATTTGAAGAATGGCGTAGCACGGTTCTTCCAGAAATCATCTTGATACTACTGTACTCTATCTCCACCTAGTATTTGATGAGAAATACATTAAGTCATAAAATAATAGGATTTTTCATTTGTGGATAAAGTAAATTAGGATTCTAACTGGTACTCTTTTTACTCTTTTTGCTTTATAATGACATTTATAAACTTTCTGACAAACTCAAGTTTTTTTTCTCTTTGCAGATGATACTAATCTACTCTATGCTCACAAAAACATCAAGTCACTCAAAGATACAGTTAATTTAGATAATTAAGTGATTGGCTTACTGTAAACAAATTGACTCTGAATATCGGTTTAGTAGTTTCAGTGAAAGAGGGAGAAGCAATGAWAAAAAATTAATAGTCAAGGGGAAAGAAATATAATAGAAATAACTGATTTTCTATAAAAAGAATGAAAGGGTATTGTTTTAAACAATTGGGGCATCAGCCCTGTAACAATATCCTGTCACCTATAATAGTGACTAATTAATTTAATATAATAAAATAGAAACTGACTTGAAAAAAATGTTATAGTGCTTTATTGCTTTATTAATAAGCAATATATTATCTAGTAGAGAGAATAAGAGAAAAATATCAAATGCCCTTGGCAGGATTCGAACCCACGTCTTCGGTATTCTAGTCCAATGTGTTTGATATTTTTCTCTTATTCTCTCTACTTCATTATATACACACCGAACGCACAATTTATTACTACTACAATATATTATCTGTAGAACAGAACTGAGTTAGGCCAAGTCCAAAAAAAAAAACCAATAAAAAAGTTTCTCATCCCGATTTCTATAAAAAGGAGTGCGCGGGTGCATTTCTTTATTATTTTCTGACTTTTCGTTTCAAAAATCAAAATTAATCTTTTAATTAATCAAAATTATCTTTTTACCCAATTAAGGGGACTGGGTACAAAGCGAAAGAAGCGCCTGTTGCTCTTTGTTTGTTCCGAATTGTCCAATAACAAATAATAGAAAAATAGGCGGCCCAAAAAAAACGAAGCAGGCAAGGACGAGAAACATTGATTTTGAAGTCTAACTCACAACCTCATTACACATTCAAGGGCCATATACATTAGRATTCAAGGAATTTATCTAGATTAGGCCCAGGGATATGGGGCTTTTATCTAGATAAATCCCTCGAATATTCCCTTTTAATGGATTAATTATTAGCGCACGCTGATAATAGTTAATTACCCACAAGATTAGACGCATTCCAGGGTAGGTAGGCACATGACTGTCACCTGACTGTTATCTGTGGTTAATGGTAGGGGGGAGGGGGGGGGGGTAATAAGCAGGGTATTTTGGGATATAAAGCTCTATGAATAACAAAGAAAACCGTGTCAATAATAATAATATAAGATAAAATAAATAGGTCATGATAAATTACCCAAAACCCAAATATATTAATGCTTCAAGTTACATACCTCGAACATAGGCTCAGAATAACCAAGAGAAGATGGCAAGACGTCCGTAACTACACCAGGAACTTCTCTACCAAAGTCAACTCTCACAAACACTTTACTTCCAGCTTTCGGTGGGTCTMCATAACGACTTCCTTCTTTAAAAGCTTCATATCTTTTCTCTAAGGAGGCTATTGTCATAAGACATTCTGCATCTGCCTCAGTTAGTCTTGCAGCATCTCCAGCAGCACATTGAAACTTTAGTCCACTGAGCAGCAGGTAGGGGGACTCGCGATCGATGCCAAAGATTCACGGGTTTAATCCCCAGAATTACGAAGACGGGTACAGCAGATTTACGGGTATTTGGTATCGCAAACGGAGGTAAAAAATATCTTATAAATATACGATGCATGAATGTAGGAAGTTTGCCAATGACTTTTGCATAATTTGTCTAAGACCTAAAGTTATCATACCTAAGCCAGAACCCTTTTGGTGTTGTGGTAA